GGCAAAGGTTTTTAAAATGTCATCATGTACAGTGCTGGCAAGGGTGTGGGGAAAAGGCCCTTGTCTTGGGTGAATTGCTACATTTCTGGGGGTTGGTCTGACTGAATGTATCCAAACTTTAAATGGAGGTACCTTTTGGCCCAGCAATTTGACTCCTAGGGATCAATCCAAAGGAAATAATCAGGCAAATTTAAGCTTCCAGTGCCTAGTTTCCTTATATATAAAGTGGGGATATTATTTCTCCAGTAGGTTTTTTAACATTAAATAAAATAATTCACATAAAATATTTAATGCAGTGTCTGGCACATAGAAAAATGACAAATAAACGTTAGCTAAATAAATGTTACCCCCAATCATGTGCATTGAGCATTGTTGTAATAGTAAAACTTGACAATAACCTAAGTGCTCATTGTTATAGGGACTGGTTGAATAAATTATTGTACATACATATGGCACAATACTATACAGTTGTTACAAAAGATATAAGATGGCTTGTATATATGGGAAAAAGTTACATAATAGGATGTATAGCGTTATCGCATTTGTTAAAACAACATTAACATCGGGGATTAGAGATAGAAGATGGTATTATATGGGATTTTTACTCTATATCCACTTATATATTGCTTTAACTTATTTTCATAAACATTTATTATTTTTATAATCAGCAAAATATAGATATTGAAATATAGATATAGATATTAGATATTAGTAGATATCTAATATCTAAAATATAGATATTAGTTCTCTGAAAGGAGAACTAATATTTTTTAGGCCCATTTGTTTGGTAAGACAAAACCAAAAATAAAATGAGCATTAATTAATTGCCCATATCTACCTTTCTGGGTTTAGAATGAAACTGTTAGGAATCCAGATGCTGTGTTGATTAGAGCTACTTCTCCAGTAGAGTACTTGGTCAGGGCAAGCAGTGCTTCATATGTCTGCTTTATACGGTAATTCATTTCTTTAAAGTAGTTCCTCAAAATATGTATTACTTGGAAGCCAGCTAACACCATGTTTTTGTTACACTTATCTTTTAGGAGAAAAAGCAGAGAAAATGCCAAAGGTATTTCTTTAGAAAAGAAATCCTGGGGATAACTATGGTCTGATAGACTCAGCCCATTTCTTATACTGTCTACAGTATCGTACAAAGAATTGAGGTTTTCAGGTATGTTTCTGAGGCGAGTCAAATTAAAGAAAGGTCATCCACTCCTTTCAGACAGATATGAAAAAAAAAGAAGGTCACATTATTTTCAAAATGCTATGCTTAGCAAAATGCTTTTTAGGAACAAATATGGAAATAGAAATGTTTTTAGTAAACCTGATAAATCCTATAAGAATGAGTTCCCTAGTAGAGGATCATATTTTACGCCTTTGTATCTCTGTCAGTACCTTGGACTATGAATTTACTTGCCTTTAGTTTATCAGGAAAATTAAATTTCCAAGAAAAACTTCATTCATCAAGCCTTCTTTTTAATCTAGACTTATTTCCTTTAAAATATTTTGCACATAATTCATTTCACTGACCATAGCTTCTCAAAATGGATAGTATGTACAAGTACCTGCTGTACATTCTTGCATTTTCAATTATTTTCTTAAATTCTTTGGAAACGTGCCAAGACAGATGTTGGTTGCATGAAAAGTATTTATTACTTGAAACTAGCCAATGATATTCATAGTACTTGTTGAGATAACCTATGATTTTCAAAGAAGGTAAATCACGACTTTGAGACATACCTACCTTGGTGCTATAAACAGTTCTTACCTTGAGGAAAAGTATTAATGTTCTTAGCATCTTTCTGGTGTACTTTAGGATCCTGGCCTTGGGGCCCACCTATTTCTTGGTATGGTTCTGGAAAGCATTCTTTAGGCACAACCTTATTTTCATATATCTTAGTAGAGAGGTCTTCAGGCCCCAGTGTTTCTTGGTTTATTTCAGGTGAATATTCCTGGAGCCCAGGTGTTTCTTGGTATATTTTAGGTGAATATTTTCCAGGTCCAGGTGTTTCTTGATATGTTTCAGGTGAATATTCTTCAGGCTGAGGTGTTTCTTGGATTGTTTTATGACAGGGGGCTTTAGGCACAGTAATTTCTTTATATGTTTTATGAGATGAGTGTTCAGATTCAACTGTTTCTAGGTATGTATTTGTAGAAAGATCTTTGAGCACAGCTATTTCTTGTGTTTTAGGAAAGAAACCTTCATTCTCAGCTATTTTTTGATCTGATTCAGCACTGTATTGCTCCGGTTCATCTGGTTTTTGGTACATGTCAAGAGTTGTAGGCACATCTGGTTTGGGGTATGCTTCAGGAGAGCATCCCTCCAGGTCAACTGTGTCATCAGAGGTTGTACAAGGAAGAGCTTTGGGTACAGCTGTTTCTTGGCACATTTTAGGAGC